CAAATGCAACAATGCGCCCTGAGTCAAAGAAGAAGATATTAGGAGAAGTGATCAAACGATTACTCTAAATGGTGGCTTTTGACAGCAGAATTTAAGAAAGTTGCCAAGGTGCAATCATTAAATCTTCTCCAGCAAGAAGGATAAATGCAACAGATGCACGGGGTCACTGGTCCCTGCAAACTTCCCTTCTAATCCTAACTTAGAACATAACATTTGAATTCGGGGCTGGAGTTGGCCATTCGGCCCCTCGTGCCTGCTCAACCATTCTATAAGATCATGGCTAATTTGATTCCTCTGCACACCCCCCTCCCCTGCTCAACAAGAATGTGTCTACCTCCACCTGAAAAATATTCAAAGACTACTCTTCTACTACCTTTTGAGGAAGAGAGTTCCAAAGACTAACAACCCTCTATGAGAAACAATTTCTCCTCACCTCTGTCTGATATGGACAATGTCTTATCATTAAATCTTGACTATTGGCCCCACAATTTTCCCACAATGGTCAAGATTTTCCCACAAGAGGGAACTTCTTTTTCACATCCACAGTTTATATGTTTCAATCAACTCTACCGGGAGATACAAGCCTAGCCTGTACCACATTTCATCATAATACAAATAGTTCATTCTAGGGTACTTATTGGGTACATTGTCTTTGAACTAATACCAACACATTTGAATTCTTTCTTAAAAAATAAAATGACCAACACTGTACGCAATACTATATAGATTTGGCCTCACTGGTGCCCTGTATAATTGAAGCATGACCTCCCTACTTTTGTGTTCAATCTCCTCACAGTGAACAATTGCATTCTATTATCTCTCCCAATTACTTGCTGTACCTGCATTCAAACTTTAGTGATTTACATACTAGGTCACCCCAATCCCTCTGCATACCAGAGCTCTGCAATCTCTCAGCATATAGTAATATGCTTTTCTAAACATTTGTTCTGCCAAACTGAATAATTTTACAGTTTCCTACATGATACTCCATTTATCAGGTCCTAACCTGTCCATGTCTTTTTGTAGCCTCCTTATGACCCTTTTGTGGCTTATTTCACCACCTAGCTTCAGCAAGTTTAGCAACCAAATAGTCAGTCAAGCTTATTCAGTCATTAATATAAATTGTAAAACATTGAAGTCCCAGCACTGATAATGGCAAATGGGACTAGATCAGTTTAAGATATCTGGTCGGCATGGATGAGCTGCACTGAAGGGTCTGTTTCCATGCTGTATAACTCTATGACTATGATACTGTGTGGCACACCACATGTTAAATCTTGCCAACCAGAAAATGACCAATTGTACTGACTGTTGGCTAGTCTTCTATCGATGCCAATATGCTATCCCCTACATCATGGGTCTTTATTTTCCACAATAACCTTTGATATGAGATGCTATCAGGTGCTTTCTCGAAATCTAAGTACAGTACATCCACTGGCTCCTGTTCATCAACGTTTGCAAAGAACTCCCATAAATTGATTAAACATGATTTCACTTTCACAAAATCTTGTTGACTCTGGCTCTGTTTGATCAACTTGGATTTACCAAAGTGCTTGGATGTAACGTCTTTATAAACAGCTTTTAAATTTTCCCCTATATTAAATTTTAAGCTAACTGGCCTGCTGTTCTTTCAATGTCAATGTCAAATTCCTGACACTCCCTTGTTAATAGCGCAGAGGTTATCCCTACACCAAATGGACAGTAACAGTTTAAGAAGGCAGCTCACCACCTCAAGTGCAGTTCAGGGTGAGAAGAAATGCTGGTCTGACACCTATGACCTGTGTCTGTGAACAGACACAGACACAGAATATCCAATTCAACACTTAAATACTCCAATTGTTTCTGGCCAATATCCCTGCAATTCTGATGTCAACCCTGCCACCTCTTGATGCCCAACAACAGTGCCTACCTGCAGTGACCATCCATAGACCTCACCAGCATTCAATAATTGGAGGCAGAGGGTGCGATGCAGAGGGCATCATAACCCCAATCAATGTTTTTGCAAAGATCTTTGCACATGTTCATCCTCAATAACTGGAACACAATAGAGTCTTCCTAATGCTCTGTTGCTGCATATACCATACCCTAGAAATGGTGTCAGAGGACTTCCTGAAATCTTTGTCCCATCCACGTCCCAGGTAAATGGTCGCAGGATACCCTGAGAATGGCATTTGTGTCAGTCAAAGGAAGGATATTGTCTTCTTTCTTAATTAGAAGATGACATTTATTAAGTTCCTTTAAAATCAAGATAAATACACAATAAATTGGATGAACAAAATTCTATAATGTATTATGCCAGTCTTCATATAATTCTACTATAAGGCAATCTATATTTTTTGCTGTTTAAAAGTTAAAGGACCTGTGTGACATCCATCATTCAGAATCTGGGCAGTTTCAGAGTCTGCCTGGAACTGGGAAAGTATGAAACAATCAGAATCCCTCCTTGCCAGAAGCTTCCACAGGACCTCTTGCTTACACCATGCTATTCAACACTGCAGAGGGAACAGTTGGTTGATGTCAATGAGAGTACATCAGGATGTCTCAAAGCCAAAGTACCTTATAGCCAACAAAATACCTTGGTTGAAGTGCAGTCACTGTTGTCATGTGGTTGTCAGCTGGCACACAGTTAGATCTTACATGCAATTCTGAGAGACATGACCTGACCATCTGTTTTACACATTGGTTGAAAGATAAGTGTTGGCCGAGGTATTTGCTCTTGTTTGTGTAATGCCAAGTGACACTTTATGTTCACCCAGGAAGACAGGCAAAGCTTCAGTTTAATGCTTCGTCCACAAAGCAATTCAGTATTCCATCAGTACCGCCCTGACATGTTAACCCAGACTATGTTGTTAAGTTTTCAGACAAGAATAAATCTAGAACCTTCCAATACAAAGACGAAAGATCCACTGAAGCACAGCTGACAACTTCTTAATTTCAGTTTGAGTCTTTTTACTGGAAGCATGACATTTTTAAGTGTGAAATTGCTCAGCAGGAAGGATGCAGAGTTAAGGGTTTAAGTTAATTGGAAAAATAACCAGACAGGAGCTGGAATAAAATCTTTTTTGTTAACGTAATGATTAGCTATGATCTGGAATGCACTCCCTAATGAGGTGGTGGAAGCAAATTCAATTGTAAAGTGAATTGGAAAATACTTGAAGTGGAAATATTGTGCAGTGCTATAAAAGAGCAAGGAAATGAAATTAACTAGATAGCAAAGAATTGGCATGATGGGCTGAATAGTCTCTGTCTTTTGATTCCATGATAAAGCATTGGACAGTAATCGTGCTCTTGCCATCATTTTGTAGTATCTTCCATTTCCTGAAACCTGAACTGTTGGGCAGACTGTCTCAACAGTTTGCAAAGTGAAATGTCATTTGTTTAAAGGCAGAAGTCTGACAGTCTATCGAAGGTTATTTGTTAACAATTATATGTCTATTAAGCAGTACTTGATCGGTCAATGTGCAAATAGCAAGATCTCTTGGGTTTACTTATTGACAGCTGCCTGCCAATACCCAGTCTAGTACGCTTCAGGAAGCACTTGCAGCACAAGGAGAAATTAGGTGGACAGAATAATCATTAGTTTAAAGTTTCTGAGGTCTAACATTATTTTTAGTTTGCATCATAGAATATAAGTTAGCAATTGTTCAAAGCAATGTGCTTTCTGAGAATGAGCTAATTATACTTGGCTTCACAGGATGAGGAGAACAGTTCGCCTACGTTTGAGATTGTGTTCAAATTTATTACAAACAGTGACATGTGTATAATGTACTATTGCAGTCCACTTGTGTTATGGTGCCCCACAGGTTACAAAGCCCTCCTCACTTACACTGCACAGCTCTCCACAGTTTGGCTCCCTTGTTCCAGTGTCGCCCACACTATCTGCCATATGCTAATAGACTGGTAGGACAAATGGTCATTCTCTATTGATTTATCCTTCATTGCAAAGCCAATGAGTAGCAGTACTGTGTGCTTAAAGTGCAGCAGTGCTAACAAATTTCAAAAAGACCATATCTTCCGCACCCTGATCTTAAATGATTGTCGTCTAGCTCAGAGGAGTAATGGACTGACATGTATCTGTCATCTTGCATAGTTGTGAATTATGGCCCATTTTCTTTGTGCTTTGTTGCATACACTTGAGGATATTCCCTCTGGTTACACCTTTATACGAAAGAAACTTGTTATAATGTCATCCTCATTTTCAAGCCACAATTGATCTGACCCATAACGTGACTGAGAACCCGTGGCATCTAGCCACAGACGTTTGAAGAAAAACGCTCTAAATGTCTCCATTTGATATAAGCAAGCTACGAAAGAATTAAAAGAAGCTCCCACAACGTGGAGGAGGAACACCTTGATCTGACTGGAGCCTCCTCTTCACATTGTCACGAATCTGAATGGCAGCACTGTATGAAACATGGAAACAATCAGCCATTTTGAAACATTGCAGATTATATAGATGAGCCTTCAAGGACATCATTACCCTCGGTCACTCTTAAAAATGTTAAGTATAACTGTAATGAAGGAAAATGTTTCCCAAATGCATGCTTTGCTTCAGATTTTAAAATATCCTTTCTTGAATCCTTTGAAGTGAGCAAACTTAGGAGAATGAGGGCCGACTGTTAAGCATCCCCTTTTACATTGCCTGTGCCAACAATAACATAACATTCAGCATTAAATCCGAGTACAATATTAATGATTCGCTAGAGCTTTCTTTTCCAGGATATCAGTAGCAACATCTCATGCTCACAGTGTTATTACTTAAAGTAACATTCTTCCTTTCATTGACCTAAATGGGTGACTTTTAATTGCTGCCAAACTAGTCATCTTTTAGGCTCTGAACAAGAATGTGAATTCTATTTGCGTTCCTATTTCTGGTTTTGTGTGTATGTATGTTTAACTATAATATCAGATATAGTAGCTTTGTCTAAAATCAGGCCAAACTCTCCCAAAAGATTATTGCACCTAAACAAGTGAATAATGTAAAGTGTGTTTTTTTTCAGAACGGATGCAGTTCCTCCCTTTCTAGTATCAATAGACAGTCTAACAGTGAGTACAAAAGCATTTTCTGTGTAATGATTTGAGCAGCAGTTTTTTTGCTGTCAGTTTATTTGGCAGATGACAGAAACATGTAAAGAAAATACACTACGTGTAAACACATCTGCGTCAATCACATTTATTTTTCTGTGGGCTTTGTGACAAAGTTAGTGTATGCTAATAATGATTTAGAGTGAGTCTGATGTCTTGCCTTTTTAAAATGGAATCTAAATAGTTCTCCCAGTGTGGTGTGGCATTGTCAGCATTTACTGAGACAGCTGGACATAAAGAGAGCTAGAACAAAGCTGCCTTCACTGTCATAGACTCAAGTAATACATTGGTATTCATATAATAAATGAGAAATAGATGATTAATTTATTTGTAAAACACTTCTGAGTAGGAATATATCTATTTCTGTCTTTTCAAGTTAAGTGCTATGTATTTGGAATGCACATTAACAAATTCACTCTGCATGCAATATTTTAAAATGGATGCCTGGGCTTTTGTTCCCTCAGGTTCATTGTAGATATTGTATGACAGAAAACTTTGGAATTGTAAAATACAGACTGGCACATTAAAAAGTTTCAATGTAGAAATTCAGAACAGCCCTCAGCTCAGGCCTTCTACAGACTATTGTCCTTCCTATAATCAGTATGGGCAAAGGGATGTATTCGGGATAGAAATGATATATTTTAAAGCGTAAATCAAACCCGCTGTGTTACTATTTGAGATATCCAATCAAAGAATGTAAAAAACAAAAATTCAAAAGCTCCATAATGGTAAAACATTGTCTTTTAGAAAATCTTATCAAATACATTCAGGGACACTTTATCATTGCTCATACTCCGTGCAATCCATCTGCATTCATAAACCGGCAGTATTCATGCCAGCTGTCATGTGTTATCAAAGCTCTGAAATATTTTACATCCATTAATTCGGAATTACTCCAATTACAAGCTTTTGGTGTGTCAAAGCCCCTGCACAACAGAGACGAGGTGCAGAGCACACTGACGCACCAATCACAGCGCTTCTCTGGCGTCAGGACCAGATGCAAGCAATTTACTTTTATTTCTGCATATTCAGTTCGAGGCAAGCTCAAGCTTCACCTTTGACCTCGAGCCTGCAGGATTCTAACCTCCCCAAATTAAACCTCTTTGCTCACTTATTCCTCTGCGCTCCTTCCCCTGCTAAGCATGCATTTCACTCCATAGCAACCCGAGGCGGGCGTGCTGGCTCATACGACCAACATAATCAGCAATTATTGGAGAAGGGGGAGGGATGCGGGTAGAAATACAGTACTATAATATTATTAGATGCCATACAGGAAGTACAATTGAGGTCTTTCCCTCACCAATGATTCTCTCACAGCCCGCACTGCACCATTTTTAACGTGGCAATCTTATCTCTCTGACAACAGCTCAAAATTCCACGTTTATTTTGCAGCCACCAAATATCAAGTATGGGTTGCAACGAAACAGACCTCTTTGAAGATCTTCTCCAAAGTATATTGTTGGCATCATAAACATCTAAAAGGTCATAGCTGGGAGGCACATTTATCCACACTATCCGCATATCATGATGATTAAACTTGTTTTTAACATTAACCTTTATCTGGATAATAACTGGGATTCGAACTGATGTGGTTTTATAATACACCAAGAATTTATTTATCTTATGAGGTGAGATTGCTGTGTATTTTAGTTAGGAGTTAAACTGAAAATTCATTAAGCAATTAAGACCTTCAATTTTTTTGCCTGTGGCAGATAGAGGTTTTGCTCTGAATTCCATGGGCCTGGATTATGTTTCTTCCTTACAATAGTGCTTTATATCGCTGATGAATATTAATTGCCAATCTCAGAATGCAGCAACATGGGTTGAGAAGAGGGGTAAGGAGGGGTTAATGTTAGGGGGTCAGTGGAGATGGTGGAGTGCTGGTGTGGGTCATCAGTTTTTCAGACCAGAAACGCTGAGCTTTCTTCTTCTTCTGCTCTCCACATCCCACATTCTGAAGCTAATTCCATCTGTCAAAAGCTCCTCCTCGCCTTTCTCTTCCGTTGCCTCCTCTCCAGCTTTGTCAATTCTTCTCCTCCTCTGTTCCTTGTCTCTGCTCAAGGGCCTTAACTATTTACTGGCACAGATTGTAGGGAGGGAAAATATGTCAATAACAGAGGAGGAAATGTAAAATAGGGAGGTGAAGAAGAAAATATTTAAATTTCCAATTCCCATAATGCTGGAATTTGCATTAATAAGAACAAAACTATGCAACTACTGAGAAGTAGCGATAAAAAAAAGTCTCACAAAAAAAGCATGGCATATTGCTCTGCTTGTCTCCAATGAAGTTCATCAATTATTGATTTTTACTGAATGATCTGAATATTTTACTGGCCAATCGACCTCTCAACATTTATGTCTTTACCTTCCAAATAGCCCATGATGAACAGGTTGGTGAAAAAGTGGAGGTCCCACTTGAAATTCTCCTCAAGATCTAGGTCGCTCTGCTATCCAGATTTCCAAGTTACTTTCTGTCAAATTACAAAGCTGCTTCTTCAACCTTAAAATAGCCAGAGGATATGTGGCCAGCTGCAACACCAATTTTACTTAATGATTTTAATTCACTACTAGGTAGTTCCAAGGCTGTATGATGTTATGTTTGATCAAAGTGAGCTAAGTTCAATTTCAGTTTATTTGATATCGCTGCATGTAGTGGTTAAGAAATCTCCAAGCCTCTTAACTCTTGTCCATTCTTTTAAGGACACCTCTCGATATTCTTAACATTATTATATAACTACAATTTGTTTCTTCCAATGTGAGATAGTTCACCATATGTGAAGCACTTTGGAGTTTCTGAAGGGTCCCGACCTGAAACGTCAACTTTCCTTCTCCTCTGATGCTGCCTGGCCTGCTGTGTTCCTCCAGCTCCACACTGTGTTATCTCTGACTTCAGCATCGGCAGTTTGCACTATCTCTCATGAGGTTTATTTGTATTTATATGTGTGTTAGCATCATTGACAAGACCGTAGTTTTGTTGCTGATGCTTAGCTTGCCTTGAGAAGACAGAATTGGGTAGACACCTTCTTGAAATATGTTGATTACAATATTTTCTGTCAGTTTTGCTGAAGCTACATTGCTTGCCAAGCTATTTCTGAGGACAGTTATGAATCAACCACATTGCTGTGGATCTGGATCACAGACAGATCAGACCAGACCAGACCAGACCAGATAAGGGTGGCAGATATCCTTCTCTAAACATCATTTGTAAACCAGTTGTGTTTTTTTTCCCAGCAATTATATATTTTCACAGACATAATGACTAATTTATCTTTTTATTTCATTCCACAGTTGGAATTTAAATTCCTTAGCAGCTTTTGGTGAGATTTGAATTAATGTTTATGGATTATCCATCCAGCATTATGATCCCAATTGGGGAACCACAACCCAAAATAGCTAAATTTGCTACATAAGCGACAAATGAAGAAATTACAAACAAGATTCTACTTTTTTGAGCTTTTGCTTTAACATGCACAAGAAACAGCTTGAATAAAAATGAATTAACAGGCAAATAAAAAAGATCAATTTATCTTTAAATAATCTTTACATTTTTGATACAACAAAGATACCATTTACATAACTACAACTATTTTCCATTGGCAGATGTGGCATTCCATCACTACACTGTCCCACAAGCTCCTGTTCTATACTCACATGGAGTAGGTTAAGAACACAATATGATGACAGCTTTAGTTTGCAAATTTCACAGATATAATTATGATCAGCAAGTTATACTTTCCTGTACACTCTCTTCCTCAGGTCATGATAGTCCTGATGGTGTAAGATTCCAGAGCTCCTTTTCAACTGACTGATTAATAACACTCTACTTCATGGTTTAGCCAATCCTGGGAAAACACTCCGCTTTTTAGCAAAGCTAAGCACTTCACATAACATTCCAGGTCTCAGATCAAGTGTGTCATCTTGAACCTCCAAGAGCTTCTGTCTCCTTTTCTGCCTAACAGAATGACAGACCTAAGGAGATTTGCTTCTTCTACTCCAAATAATTATCTGTGTTCTTCTGCCTGTCTGTGTCCTGTATGTCTTGTCTGGAGAAGAGGTGAATTTTTAAAACAAAGTTTGGTACAGCATTACATCCAGTTAGCAGCTGACAAACTACAAAGCTGAGTAACAGTTGTGAAAGAAACATCTTTGGACAGAAAACATCTCCAGAGAAATTAACACGACAATGTAAGTCTCAAAAAAAAAAACTTTTTGCTGCCAGTAGTCGAGGAAACAAACCTTAAAAAAGCAGTAAGAGCTGTAAAAGCTCACTAGTAGCCAAATCAACTAGCCTGAAATAAGGCTGATTATCAGACAAAAATCAAAAGAACTGTGGATGCTGTAAATCAGGAACAAAAACAGAAGTTGCTGGAAAAGCTCATCAGGTCTGGCAGCATCAGTGAAGAAAAGATCAGAGTTAACATTTCAGGTCCGGTGACCCTTCCTCAGAACAGCTGATCATGGTACACCCACAGTGGATTTCATTCCTAAAGGGAAGATATGTTTTCACATGGAAAACTAGGCAGAGAAGCTTTGTTAAGACTTCTAATTGTGAATTAACCAATTCCTAAAAGATTTAATTGATGCCAAATTTATCAACAGCAGATTAAAAAAAAAATTTTCAGGTACAGGCTCAAAGAAAATCGATTGACAAGGGGAAAAACAGATAAAAAATTTGCAATATCAGAGTCTCAACAGTGACGTTAGTGAAAACCTCATTATTTTGACAGAACAACTAAGTACTTTTATCGATATTATTAAATAAGATACAAAAAATTGGATGAAGAAAAAGAATATGAATCTGATTATATGGTGTTAAATTTAGTGTAAAAATATCTTGGACACCAAACATCAGCACGAATGACTTCATAGAAGTCATATTTGATACTAAAAAAAAGTCACCAAACCTTTTGAATGAAGCGGTTTTGGAGATATTCTAACCACAGGTCCTTGGGGAATCCTTC